ATCGCTCGCCGTGGCAACCTATCTGGTGACATACGTAATAAATGCCCCAACCAATATAATCCATGGAAGTCGACCACTTGCTCCAGTGCGCAACCACGATTACCTAAAACTCTGCATCCAACTTCAGCATTGCTTGTCCGGCTGCCCCACCACATTCGTGTAATGCTGCGCAGACAGCGATGTTCCAACACCGAGTNAAATTTCTGCGCCGTACAGCCGAACTGCCGCAGTATTCACTCGACCCTTAACAGACAACCGGATGTCGCGACGGTGCCACAGATATCTTAAGTTGGCAAATGCCAACCGGACCAACCGACCACTACTCATAAGTACCTCGAGGTAAATGTGAATGTGATGTGGATTAACGTCGTAAGCAGTGGCACTTTTTCTTTTTCATTCCACTTCCTTTTATTAAATATACAAAGATACAATTTTCAGGAAGGGAGAAGCGGCCCATCAAGGGGCTGTCATTCAACACACAATGGAGAAAGTTAGGCGGTTGTGGTGCGATTCGAACATGCATCTATGTACATCTACCCAATTTCTAAGTGAATCTGTTGTACTTTAATTGTACTTTACCACAATATTGCTATCAGATTTTCTTTGGTTTTTTCTCATTTGTCACCAAAAACTGTTGTAAAACAGGGCAAGGTCAATACTTGTACAAAATGGAACTGATATGTCCGAGGCATACTCCTCTCCTTTCCTTCAGTTGGAAGTTCGTTACTAACTTTTTCGCCTATGTAAAAGTAACATGTTGCGAATAGAAGTTATTATTATTATTCATAACTGCCCAAATTAGCGGTTAATGAATGGGAAAATTAAACTCAGACATGATTTGTGCTCATATGAATACATTAAAGGAACGGGGGGGGGGGTAAAAATCAACTATATAGGTTGTAATCAACGACTGTCAACTTCGTTTGATACGATTACGTACAAATAATTTTCTATCTTGAAAACAGGGGAACTAACATCGCCGGACTGGTTGTCTCGTATATGGTGAAGATGAATCAGCGAACTTGGAAGGCAGGTGAAGCGCGGACTGTTTTCCTTAATTATCTGGCAGTGAAGCTACATAACATTTACATCCAAAACCCCTGACAGATGGAGAGAAAATTATGCCACTAAGTGAATAAAAACGTCGAACGAAGAACATCATTGATCAGTCGCAAACAGCCATCTTTGAGACTAAAACCTTGTTAATTTTTCCCCGTTACAGGCGCACGTTTATTCTTTATTACGCAAATTATGATCGTACGACGATCGGTTAGACTAAACTTGTTATTATACAGTTCGACGAGAATGATCATGACATACACACTATCACCTTTTGCTGACGTTACCATAAAATTTAGTAGTCAACGAGTTGGACAATGTTTCAAAACTTGAATAGCTAGAGACTCGTCCATGAAAAGTGATGACTGCAATAGAACCCACCTGGTCATTAGTTAGAAGATCCTGTCCAAGCCCAGGGATTGCTGATAGCACTTGTGAGAACGAGCCAATTTTCAATATGTTCTGGAACTGTTCATACATGTTTCGCAATGTGAAAACACCTTGCTTTAATTTTTTCACCAATTCTTCATTTTCATCCAGCTTCAGTTCGGTCACCTGGAGCACACATAGAGAAAGCAAGAACAGTGAGAAACCGGAATGGTTCATGGCATGGCAAGAAACCAAATTCACAAACAGCCACTTCATCTACCGTACACTTAATTGTAAAATCATTGGTGGCATATGATATAACCTAAAAGGGTTTGGTTAAATAGCTGCTGATTACGTGAGTATAAAATACGCAGTATGTTGTGGGGGCTGAAAATAAAACAAAAAACTCACTCTTTCCACAAGACCTTCAAGATCACCCAAACCCAGCAACTTCTGTACAAACGGCTGAACCCGGAAAGGTTCGAAGTCTTCAATGTGCTCCCCGGTACCGATAAAAATGATTGGACTGTGCGTCGCTGCAACAGCACTTAGAGCCCCACCACCTGAAAGAAATATCAATGAAACATAACTGAAATGAGACCAAGAGACCAGCTTCCAAAAAAGTACACGGCAGATTATGGTGACAGTTTAATGACAGAAACGGAAAACGAGAAAAGTCCAGTCGATGACTAGGCCCGGCTGCATCCATTTTCAAATAGTTTATGTGGCTTTGGCACGATGAAAAAAACCGCAAGCATCACAAAATCGAGGGCATAAATAAGATGTTGTAGATGAAAATGCGGAGAAATATATGGAAACAACATAACATGGAAAAGAATTTCTTCGTGCGAACCAAAACCTAATTGCAGGACACGTTCAGTAACACTATTATAGAGACCTGTAGTTGGTACCCGATGAAATCGTTTCATCTGTCTGTTTAGTAATTGTTTGTTTCCCAAAATCTGAATTTTGATTGCGTTGACAGCGGATTCATCGGTTGGTGGAATAAGTCACTATAAACAGCTTATTTTTTACTGGGATCTTTCATGACCTATTAATTTAATTTCTAGGTCTCAAGCACCAAAGGCTGAGATGAAAACAACGAGACTAACGAAACTAAACTACGGAGATCACCGTCAAGCGAGACAAGCTCTGATGACTTAATACTCCGAAACCAAGTGGTTCAAAACAGAGTGCCGACTTATGAAGATTACCAGAAGAAAAGTGAATGGTTATGGTTCTTGGAATAGATACTGATACGTGTCACAGCGGACATAAATGGTTGAAAAAGTTACATCCGACGTAAACCAACGTTAAAAAATCAGATCACCTTTGGCGTGACCGTCCAGTTTTGTCACAATCACTGACGATACATCTACTTTGGACTTGAATGCGCTAGCTTGCGCCTCACAAGCCTGGCCAATGGAAGCGTCCATTACGTAAATCACTTGATCCGGTTCAATTGCATTTGACACCTGGTGATAAAAGGTGGGTAGCCAGTATTGGATTGACAGACGGATAAAAGAGACAACTACTTTACTACCAGTTAACTCGAACAGTCATTGGGCATTATTGGAGTTAAGTACATAAGAGAAATGGTTCTATCGGTTTTGGATCAACACGCAGAGTTTGATTACAAAATAATATTTCACGCGATGCAATCATTTCATCATGTTTGGTATTTTTTCCTGGGAACAAATATATACACATACATAAGTAGAATAAGCAATGGAAAAAATAAACCTCTTCGTCACGAGGACTCATTTTTCACTCATTTTAATCGTCAACCAAAACATTGGAACTTGGAGAGGTGAACCACAAAGTTCCACTTGGATAAACCTAGCACTGAACTGAAATATAGCGAAACTGCTTACGATTACAGATAGATAACGTTGACAGTACGCAACTTGGACCTTATGACATAAAGCATTCTAGTGACTGGTTCAAACCACTTGGCCGCCGCCTGTTTGTATTTACGTGACTTGAAGTGACCCGCAAAATAAGGAATAAATAGGACAATTTTGAGAATGCACCGGGAAACGGCGAAGATGCCGCCTATCACTGATAGCATTTTTGTCTCAAGTATGATTTTCACTTTTATTACTGAACTCTACTTCGAAGTCATTCAACCGGTTGTGAACATAGTTGTTATAAGACTGACTGTACAACCACAACCAAAGTGAAAAGGAACACTACATTACCATTTTATACATACGTTTTCTCATTAAAACTCGGACTGCTATCCTGAATTTCAATTTTACTGCCGACCGTCATGCCACATGTGTGAACACATCTTTGTTATGGATGAACTGTCACAAGTATTGCCGTTCAAAATTTTACCTAAATGAACGCCAAACATCACAGTTGGTTCTGTTTCATAGTTTTATTACAGAATAAACTTCGAGTAGTCATAAATGTCAGCCTAAATACATATTGCACAAATGCAACGGAACAAACCTGAAGCATCTCTTCGAACAAAGAATCTTCTTGTTTGTGACGACCACTTGTGTCGACGATAATCACTTCGAAAGATTCGTCTTCAAATTTACGCACACCATCGCGCGCAATTACGACTGGATCGGTCTCGGTGTACGAACCGTAAAAGGGAATGCGCGCTTTCGTGGCGTTTTGCTTCAGCTGATCGAATGCACCTGCACGGAATGTATCTGCACAAATCATGCATGTTTTCCATCCTTTTCTTTGATAGAAATAAGCTAATTTGGTAGCGGTTGTCGTTTTTCCACTTCCTTGTAAACCAACTAGCATGATTACGTTGGAGCTTCCTCGGGTAGGTTGCCATGCTTTCACTTGTGGATCAATAAGGCGCACCAGTTCCTTGAACACAGCAGACTGAATAATCTTCCGTTTGTTCAAGCCTGCAGCCATCTCGTCGAAATCTATTACTGCACGCACATTCTCCCGTAACTGCTTTACCAAGCGAATATTCACGTCGGATTCGATTAAAGCCGTGCATATTTCTTTCAAAAGACTATTCAGAACATCCTCGTTGATGATGGTTGCGTTTCCCAACGACCTCAGAGCATTGGTTATCTTACGACCAAGCTCGGCAAGAACCATGGTTTATACAGACTGAAACGAAGAGAACGCATATCAACTACACAGATAAGATGATTGATCTCGGTTATTTCTATGCAATTCGCCGAATGCGGCCCTGAGGATCGAAATTTCTAGTTATTTACAGAACACAAATAGAATGCCATCACAAAAGATATATATATGTCACACATGTCTGACGCCAAACCGTGTGCCAAGCAAATCATGGTACAATAATCTTTAAAAAAAAGAAAAACGTTCCATACTTTACATTTGTGCTGAATACTGCCAGGTTGTCCAGGCCAAGGCAGACAAAAGAAATGGGGCTATGGTTCACCGAAGAGGAAATCGGAACTACTGGACTATAATGACACTATTATGGTACTCGAGTATCACAGCTTCGGGTAGCAGCCAGAAAACTATCTAAAACTATACATCATGCAGAAGCTGAGACCAACATTAGAACTAGGAACTGAAAGATATACATACCTCATTTGCGATGACTTAAATAGTTCCGTGATCCGGAGAATCATACGAGATCCCGTAACGGTTAAAAGATCCATGGATAAGTATTAAATGACTTTTATGCTTTTTCTCCCTCTTTCTTGAAGGATATATATATATATATAATTTCACACAGGTCGGACGCCAGACTGTGCCAAACAAATCGTGGTACAATATTCTTTGTGAAAAAAAAACGTTCCATGATTTGCATGAGGGCGGAATACTTCCAGGTTGCCCAGGCCAAGGAAGGTGAATTTTCCTGAGGAATCCACAACCGGAGCCTTTGGTTAGCCAAAGTCTGGCCCGCATGTCAGCGGGGCGGTGTACGAAGACCGCAATCCATTGGAGGCCGGTGTCCAGTTCATCGGGCATACGCCTTTGGAAGGGTTAAAACATCCAATACACTTTGATTCCCAATCGAGCCGGTGACCACTGCCACAACCAGGAAGTTGTGTATGTGGTTCGTACGCCTCCTCATGGTTGGTTTGGAATCAGGGTTTTGGACAGCTTGAATGCTAGTGTAGCCATGTTCGGTATGCGTTTTGCACCTTCAAAGTGCAAAATGTTACTACAAGACTGGGTCGGTGCAGCACCCAGCCTCACTGTAACTGCGGAAGTAATAGAGCAGATGGATAAGTTTTGTTATTTACCCAGCTACATCTCACCCGGTGGACGCATCGCAGATGAAGTGTCTGCGCGCATACAGAAGGCTCGGTTGGCATTTGCCAACTTGAGACATCTGTGGCACCGTCGCGAGTGCATACAGAAGGCTCGGTTGGCATTTGCCAACTTGAGACATCTGTGGCGCCGTCGCGACACACAAAAGGCTCGGTTGGCATTTGCCAACTTGAGACATTTGTGGCGCCGTCGCGACATCCGAGCTCGATTGGCATTTGCCAACTTGAGACATCTGTGGCGCCGTCGCGACATCCGGCTGTCTTGTGAAGGATCGAGTGTATGCTGCGGCAGTTCGGCCAGTTCTGCTATATGGTGCAGAAATTTGGCCAGTAAGAAAAGAGGACAAAGATAGACTGTCGGTGTTTGAACACCGCTGTCTACGCAACACTGCACGAATCTGATGAGCCAGCCGGAAGAGCAATGCTGAGGTTAGGCGCAGAGCTTTGGGTATTCACGGTCGCCCACCGGAGCAAGTGGTCGACCTTCATAG